CACCGAGCTGTTTTTCCCCTACCCGATTTTTTCTACTCTACTCTATTTTGGATTCTCTTTTTTTGCATTATACTTCAACTAGAACTTTAATGTGAGGGTTTGGACCCTTATTTGTTCACTATATATATTGGCTCTTCATTATCATTTAGTAAGAAGTTAGATAATCATAAACACTGAATATTTGTATTCTTTCTCCATATTATAATAAAATCTCAATTCTCTAGAAATTATTTCGTTCTTGGATGTTGTGTAATCTATTATTTTCATATTACTCATGTTATTCTCATCTTTATTAGTTGGCTTGATTATTAAAAGTGGTATCAGAGCTGAAGGTTTTTTGGCAGGTACTTGGAATGTCGAAATTGGTTATTAAAGTGAGGTTTGAACAAGGCCGATTGTTTCAGGGATGGCAACTATAAAATTTGAGAGTCCGCTTTTGGATTGCAATAGTAGAGTCTCTTTGTGGTAGATCAAGATGCGAGCGGTTCTTGTTCAATTGGATCTTAATGATTCTTTGTCGGGGTGGATATAATGCCTACAACAATGATTGCGAATGAGAAGTAACGCAAGGATCGGAAAGTCCTTTCACAAATACGTCTTCTTCTTTCTAATCAAAATTTTCAAGATGTGGTAAAGGAGATCGTATTTTGTTAAAAAGACATAGAAAATCCCATTTACATATCTTGCAGTGTTATACAAAATATTTGAGCAATCAGCGTATTTTAAGAACTCTGAATTTGGAATTGGATTATGTACTGTTGGAATCTAATTTGGGATTTTCTTTGAAGAATACATCTCAGTTGAATTTAGAAATTATGGGTAGATTCGCCTTGCCACCATTATCGACGATATCATTGTGTTCAATTGCTAGAAACAGACCTATTTTCTGCCATGAGATTTCACATAGATACAATTCTACTGATTTGGTTGATGATTTAAATGCGGTTAATGGTGTTGATTATAGTCAAAATCATTCTTTTAATACATTCAGTTGTGATTCTATTACATGACTTGTTTCAAACTTGTTTAGTAGTCATTAGATTATTTTTACCCCTAAATGGGGTTGTAAAGGTGGAAATAATTTCAGTTGAAATTGTTTTATGGAGAAGTTCGTTTATGTTTTTTCTTTGAAGAGTTCAAGTTTATTTCTTACAGTGTAATTTGTTTCCTTGCGGAAATTTTTTCCTTTTTCAAGTTATGTTTATTGTAGTGGAATTCGTGTCAATGTGGAGATTTTCAGAATTCGGGTGTGACCCGAATTCTTTTTAGAAGATAATTGAGAGTTCTAATTAAAGTGCACATTAAGAAAAATCATATTTGGAATGCTATTATTGAATCATATTCTAGTTTACTTGGCGAATTCTACTTGGAATCCCAATTGAGAGTAGTAATTTGTGTTGGATTTGAAGATGACATTGGGATGAAGAAAATCAAGTTTTTAAAGTAAAGGACCTGAGAATGGGCACCACGATGCCATCGTCACGGTGCCAGGATATTTTTTGCCCGGCTCCATTCGCGGTTGTAGAGCCACTCGACTGTTTTTCCCCTATGCGATTTTTCTCCTCTACTCTATTTTGAACTACGTTTCTTGCATTCTCTTTCATCTCTACTATGAGAGTTTAAATGTATCTTATATGTTCTCTATATATACGTGGTTCTTCATTATAATAAAATTTATATTCTCTACAAATTATTTTATTCTTTTCATCAAATACTTCATATTGCAACTATAATATCTTATTTTCTTCAATAATTTTGTATTGGATTAATTCGATATTATCTCCGTTTTTCAAAACAAAGAAGATGAGAATTTATTATATCAAGAAACTAAAATTATTTTACAAGATTTGATGCTCTCGATCTAAATCTAAATAATTCTTTCAAATTTCTAATGTATACAACAATGATATAATTGTTATGCTGAGTCTATTAAGAGCATATACAAAGGGAGTATATATAGAAGGCAAATTTTGGAGTTATAGAAAGTGGAGTACAAGAATCGCAGTCAAAAATCAAGTAGAAATCATTTTCCAACCCGTCAAGTGGCACAGCGGTGCCAACCTTGCTGGTACAATTTTCTTTGTTGGGCGCCATGGAGCTTCGAGGCTGGTGCCGCAATGCCAAGCCCCTATTTGCTTCCATCTCTCACGATGCCCCGACTCCGTCCGTTTTCAAAACATTTCTTCATCAATTTCAAAATCGTTATCCTAATCAAACTCACGATCTATGATGAACTAAATCAACATTATCTAAACTTTCTCCAAGAACTACAATTCCAAATCACATGGAATTTGAGTTATAACCTAACAAAGAAAAATAGTGCTTATAAATTCTAACACATGCAAATAGAAGAAAAGTATAAATACGGACTATAAAGAAAAGTACTGCTTATCATACATTTTTCATCGCAACACCTAAAGTTAACTCATGTGTCAAAGTCAGAGACGGAGATAGAGGGGCGAGGGCAACCACCCCCAACATTCTCGCTGGTCCACTATTCCTAGTTAATTTGTAATGTATTTTTCAGTTTCGCTTCCGAAAAAATTTTGACTGGCCCCCACAAAAATTTGAAATTTTTTTCCATTAATAAATATTGACTCAA